GTCACTCTTAAAAGGATTCAAATCTTCAGGATAATCTTCGTTTAAATTAGAATTTATGTTTGTCGCAACCGTTGTACATGTTTCAAATTCCCTATTTGTTGTATCCGAAATAATTGATAAATTTTCATTAATTTCGGTCGCATGTGCTAACGATTGTTCGAAAGTATCCATTTGCGTGGAATCGTCTGTTTCAACGTTATCTTTTAAAGCAGCATTTTGACCGATGATGGTCTCAGTCGCGTCTGGATTTATCATCGAAATTTTTTCACTTTTCCCTATTACGTCGTATTCCTTCATCTGTATCTTCCTATTTAGCGTTTCGATATCTCGATCTTCGTTATTGTACACTTTAATTTCATCTTGTCTCGTCTTGTCAAAAATCCTGATTGTTTTTTCAATTATAGAAGAGGTGTTCTTATCGCGTTGAATACGTTCAACGGATTGATCGTTAGATTCACACGGTGATTTATCCGTAATCGAATCGAATTGAAACGAATTGGCAGATTTTTGTTCGTCTCGTTCGTTGGTACTTGATTCGACGTAGTAATCGTCGTAGTCGTTCGTCTTTGTTATATTTTCCTTGTCAACGGATTCTAATTTCAAAGAAGTGAAAGCCGATTCTAGTTTCGAGGAATCGAGTTCGTTATTTCCATCATTTTCGCTTTCGGATTTACGATTAGCCGAAGATGTGAAATTTGTGCTACGATCGAAATTGCTTTGATTTTCATTCGTTGCATTCGTGTTATTGGCGAGAAATTTTTGTTCACCCTCTTCGAACAATAATTGATTCGATATGAAATTAAAACGTAATCGAGAAGTTTGCGCCAGTAAATCAGGGACGATACGATCTCGATGATCCAATTTGTTAACGGGATCGAGACTAAATATTCTTTTATCTATATGCTTTTCATCGCTAAGAAATTGTTGATAATTCGAATCAATCTTGTTTTTTTCAACTCTATTAAATTGCGAGGATTCGTCGCAATTTCGCGTTATGGCTACCGGAATTTCTTCATCCGGACATGTTTCGCAGCAATATTGTCCTTCTTCGGTTTCGTAATAATTACCAATAGTCAATTGATTGTTACATCGAGCGCAACGAAAGCAGGTACGATGATAAGCGACACGAGCGAGTACCAATTTTTCCGCTAAGAAAATAGGAAGTCCGCATACAACGCAGCGATCTTTCCGCATACCCAGATACGACGCCTCCTGCAGAATTTGAAACAATTTTAGTATATTCTACGTATATTATTATTATTATATATTTTGATAACATAGAAATAGAATGATGAATGTGTTAATATGTTTAGTGTAATAATATCGTTCGTAATTTTATTAGTAATATCGTTTTTTAAAAATATAGTTTCAATCTCTCGCTGTATTTTATTCGGATAAAAATAACGATAGAAAACGATATAAAAAAAACGAATTTAAAGATTTAATATCGATACGTCACATTCGCAATGTGCTTTTGGCTCAACGTTAAAAAATTTACCGCTTATTTTGATCGAATTATTTCGATTGAATTTTTACGCGAAAAAGAAAAAAATATTTTGTTTTTCAAATAAGAAGAACAAAAAAAAATTTTTTTCAAAATAGAGAATATATTATGGATGAAGAATGAACACGAGTATTATTATTTTTATCGAAACTTGGCTTTTAAATAAAATATTATATCTTATCATGGAATCGATTACGTAAAATCCGATACATCGAATGGGACTGATTGTTAAACTTTCCTAACTTTTGTATATTGTAGCTGGTAAAAATTGTAGAAATAATAGAACATAATTGTAACTGGTAGAAATAATAGAACAAAGAACGAATAACAAAGATAATAGGGCAAAGAGGGATACGTTTCGTCTCGGGATTGGCAGCCAAACTCATCTCTGGAGTTACACGACTGACAACCCCTGCCCTAGACGTTGGGTGGTGAACGTTTTTCAATTGTTTTCAATAAAGAAACGGAGATTACTTGTAAGAGGAACAAAATGTCTAACGATGACGAATAAAAATAGCGTGAAACGTGCACCCACAGAAATCGCGAAGATCTTTGGCAAAGTCTCACTACGCAGTTTTCGTAGTTCGAATATCATAATCGACTCGTAAAAATGTAACTGGATTCTTCTCTTTTATTCCTAATCTCGTTCAATGTAGCGGATTATGCGACAAATGGAGAGCAATCGAAGATGAAATGTACGTACAAATGACTGTCTGGGGATTGCCAGTCAGACTCATCAGTAGGGCTACGACTGACAATCCTTGCCCTAGACGTTGGATGGTGAAAATTGTTTTCAATGAAATGGAGATAAAGATGATCACTTGTGAAAGAGACGATGAAACGTCTGGCTTCGATCACACGCACCGACGTATCCTTTCACGCATGGAGGAATTCGATGTGCAATACGGGTAATGGATATTAATGAAAAATAAGGTACATTATTAAAGTTGTTGATCGATTTTTTGCTATGTATATAACATCGTTGATTACGTACGAAATAATGATAAATATGATGAATAAATTGACAAACATAATAAATATATAAAGTATCGATGTTTTTTTTGGAAAAAAAATAACAAAAATTACGGAAGATTTATAGAAAAAATTGAATCGAAAGCTTCGTTTATTTTTTTACTTATATATAAAAATTAAATAAAATATATGTTTCTAGATTCAAAATCTAAATCCTAATTTTGTCCGCATAAGTTACGATATAAAATGATCTTAGAATCAAAGGTAGAAATCACGATAAATTTTTATCTTGACAAGTTGTAGCGAAGAACACTACACAATATTCGAAATGCGATATGCGATATATTTTAAAAGGAGGTCTGTTATAGAAACTTCAATTTTATGTCTGATCACTGAAATTTGTATCAAGATTCAAGCAATAAAAATTCCATGTATGGAAAATTAATAATATCGTTTCCTCTCAATAGTCCATGAATTTATCTTGGTAAATAATCGATAAATATATATCGAATCGTTATCCTTCGCTTGTGAATAGTGAAAAAGTTGTAACGATTCGCATTTGCCATCAATTTTTCTTTTCTATTTTTCAATAATTAATCAATATTTATATATTGTATATTACAAAATACACGAACGAATTTATCAACATATGATACAAAAATAAACATAAGTTTAAAGAAAAATATTTATTGTAAGAGTCAAAAAAAGTCGAAAAGAACGAGGAAATATCTCGAGATCGAGAAAAGTGTTCGTCGATCGTATTTATTTAAAGTAATATTCCAATGTTGTCGTTAAATATCTTGCAGTAATCGTATATTTTCCATAGGAATTATATTAAAAAAAAAATAATAATAATCACAGCGATATGTGCATGCATAAAGTAATGAGTGAAAGAACGAAGAAAAATTATATGGAAAAAGCTATGCAAAAATAAATAAAATTTATACTTGAATTTGAACAATTAACATATACATATTGAAATGATATATAATGATATAAATAAATTACAATTTAAAAAATAATTTTAAATAATCATCGAGTTGAACGTTCCTTCGAAAACTATTGTTCTCTAGTCTTTTAAAAAAAATTTTCATAAAATTAGTTAAGATGATGATGAAAAGTTTCCTTTATTTAGAAATAAATTTCTTCTTCCGTAATGTAGTTTCGCGTATTCTGTGTAAAACTCGAAATTGAAAAAATATTATTGAGAAAATAGATACGTTGTTCATCATGATATATTTAGAAAAACTTAGTATATTCTGTAAATATATATTTTTCCAAATTTTCAGCGATAATTCACATTTAGTAATTATTCGTAACGTAAAAGAGAAATATTAATCGTTATATTTTATATTTCGTAAGATATGTATTTGTAAGTAAGAAAACAAATTATGAACTGGAAATATCTTTCATCGCGCGAAAGCTCTTTCTCGCTCTCTCATTCTCGCTCTCTCTCTCTCTCTCTCTCTCTCTCTCTCGGGATAATTTAAAAAATTTACTTTTCGTTACATTTTCTCATAATAGAACAAATAGAACATCGCATCGATATGATAAAGTCAAATTCGAATACTTCGAATTTAAAATTTGTGTATTGTTTGGTTGATTTAAAAAAAAATAAATGATGAAATGACATAAATAAATATAAAGTGGTATAATTCAGTTCTACGGAAATACAATTTTACCATTACATATTATTAACATTACTGAATGAACTATATAACATACTTTTCCGGTTTCACTAATAATATTCGTTTTGATAGTATAATACAACAGTTATAGATATTTTAAAAATAAATTAAATAAATGCAAATTACTTTTCTATATATTTATACAACATTTGTTACTATTATTAAAATTTATCTTTTCATTTTAGGAAAATACGAATAAATTGTACATGGAATGGAAAACTTACTACTGTCGCAAAATTGTATTCATTACTTTTTGCTATTGAACAAAAAGAAGTGGAGGCTCAAATATGTAGAGAATTTGAAAATATATGTAAATACTATTTTAAAAATATGAATTAAAATTAGTTTGAATATATATAAATATATCAAATGATATCAAATAGTATAAAAAAATATCAAATTTTTTATTAAAGTAACAATATAGGTAAGCGAATAAAATAAAACTTAACTTAAAAATAATAAATGATAAATTAGCGATAAATTTTAACGATTATTACATGTAACGTACAAACATATTTTACAAAAGAAACATAAAAAAAAGAGAGCAAAAGAATAGACTTTTCTTATGATGAATAAGATTTTTTTTTCTTTTCGTAAATTTAATTTGTTTGTGTCTTTTTTCGAAAAAGAATGTTTATATCGATAAAATATTATTTTCATTTACGTATAATGTGATAAATGCCCTATATTTGCATAGTCGTTATTGTTAAAAAATTATAAATTATATTATTCCAAGTGTAACATAAAGATTCAAGGATTCATAAACTTATAATTCAACTTTTAAACTAATTGGAATCAATTAACTTGGGAAAGATCCAAAATTTTCTACGTTTCGTACAACAAAGGCTTCTGTACCTTTTCTTTTGGAGATTCAGGCACTTGCGTGATTCTTTCCTCTGTGGTTTCAGTCGTTCTACTCACTGGATGTCGTGTCGGTGATGAACCTATAAGGATAAAAAAAAATAATATATCTCGTACAAATATATATATGACAATATATGCATGATATACGCGATTTAAATGTAATGAATCGATAGATATCGATATAAGTAATGAAAATTAAATTTCGATTGGTATTGTGAGTAATATTGAAAATAAAAGAAAATAAAAATAAATATCCGTTATTACAAATATAGGAGAAAAAAGTTAAACATTTACGAAAGCGGCGTGCGGTTTCATTTGCACGCATAAGAATAATAAAAATTGAACGAGAGAAAAATATTGATTCGATTGATTCAGTTGTGTTATCGATCTACGCAATAATTCTGTTCAATTGCATACTTTTTCTGCAGCTCGTTCATGAGTTTTCTCTTTCATACAAATTGGATCGAAAAAAATATTAAAAATTTTCTTTTTCAACTTTGCCGATACTTTTCCTTCGTATATCTACTATTCGATATAATGAATCGTATGTATCATTCGAAATGATACCAGTATGTCGCAGTGTGTTGCTTTTATCGAGATGCTGTGCTAGGCAAATGATATCGCAATGCCAAGCATGCATGACTAACGATAGTTACTTGTTTATTATTTAAAAAATTAAAAAAGTTTATTTACTTAAAAAATAATATTTCGTATTTTTTTTCTCGTTACTTAAAATTGTTCCTTCTTCCGCTCCTCCCGCAAAAATTTTTAAAAATATCAAATATTACGTAAAAATTCAAATATTACGTATTATTATAATACGCTATAGAAGAATCAAAAAATTCCAGATAATAATGTTACATGTTATTATTTATCGATAATAATTATCAGTTATTTGTATACTCATCGTTATCAAATTTAATAAATTTTAAATACTTTCTCGAAAATTAGATACAGTAATAACAGATTATTGTTATTTCTGTGAGACTTACCGCTAAAAGTCTGATAAAATTGCGAAAGATAAGTAAGAATTGATAATCGGTCAGGTACAGCACAGGAAGCCATGTCTTCTGCGTCTAAAAGTGCTGGGATTCCAAGATGTTGTTCCGCGACTCTAAAAGCCAATTCATTGTTCCCATACACGTCATTCTTGTCTAAATTGTCAAAGTCACTGCAATGGATATTAAAAGTAGATTATTTTTATCGGTTATTTCAACATGTATATCTATATCTCGAACAAAATCATTTCAAAACATTGCACGAATATGAACAAATGAATTTCGAAAATTGCAAAAATTAATGAAATTTTTAAAAATAGAAAATGTAATTGAGAATAATAGTAATTTATTTCAAAGAATAAAAATTGCATGATTTGTTTATATCCTGTATATAAGTGTAATAAAGTATATATAAGTAAATAAAGAAATTGAATTTGTTTTTAAATTTAATAAATTGTCTGTCATACATAAATCTATCTTCCAAACTTAAGCTTCGAATAAAAAAAAATTCAAATTTAACTAAAATTAAACGTTATTACGTTAAACGTATTTCAAATCTGAAATTTTACAAATACCACATAAAATATCGAAACTATTTTTGCGTATATCAAATGACGGTTATGTATATAAATAAAGAAATTTAAAACATTGATTTCTATGTCGTATATATCAGAATTTTTAAAATTGATCAAATGTAATATTTTTATAAATAATTAACTCTTTTCCGCAATAATGTGTAAATACTTTTGACATTTTATTATAATATCGATGAAATTACGAATAATTCCAATAAAAATTACAAGATATTTGGAATATATTAAGAAATTGACTATTTCTATTGTAATATCTACGACCATTATTGACTACTATTTTACTTACATGAGATCAGGCCGAAAATGGTGAATCATCGCACAAAATGCGAGGCCATCCTTCCAAGAAGTTGTCATATTTTGTACATTTACATCAGGATAACCTTCGGTTATTCGACGGCACCAGAGTTCTAATGCTTTTGTGCCTCGTTTTTCACTCATTTTATATATTTTTGATTTATTTATCGTCAAAATCTTCTAAATCTTGTTTCGTAAATTTATATAAACAATGGAAAAATAATTTGTCTTTCGAGTCTCACAAAGCGACTCTGCAATGAAATATAAACAAAAGTATATAGGTTTCATGCGGTGTGAGGTCACACTTTTGTTACCATTCGAAACTCAAACTGTGCGTTGTCTTATCTTAAAGAACGTGAGAAAAAAGTAATTCAACGATTAAGTAATTCTACTGCGATCTGGGATATTATAAAATAAAAATTGAAAATTATAAAATTATATTTCAGTTTTTCAATTACAAATGTTTAAAAGATTTTGTGTATAAAGATACGCATACGATACATGCGCATGTAAACATTGAAAATATTTATAGAAAATTTATACATGTACAAATTTATATACATGCTTAATTTATATCAATATTTACCCTGCATACTTGTTCCTTGGAATCGTTCCGGACCACCGTTCAGTATTGCTGCGCCACATGATTCGAGACCAGGATTCATTTGAGACCATGAGGCAATCTCGATATCATTTTCCTTATTTAATTGTATATACAACTTTTGAGAGTCATTTCAATATCCTGTTATACAACAAAAAAAAAATAAATAAATAAATTGTAATTGATATATAATATTTTATTCTATGTAGTGAAGAGAAATAAAAGATACTATGTAAGAAAAAGAAGTGGAAAAAAAATATTTTGAAAAAATATTTAAAAAATTATTATTAAATTCTCGTAAAAATAATTAAATTTTTCATAGATTCCTTAATTCATAGAAATATATATATATATATATATTCATATATTCGAAATAATGAACAATCAGAATATCAACTATCAGAAATATCATCGAAGTGACAAAACTAAGATATAATTACACTTTATGATTAATTGGTAATTGAAATTCAATCAAATTATAAAATCAAAAAGTAATTATTGCAATTTAATCAAATGGTATTTTTTGAATAATTTTTACTTTAACGATATAAGAATAAATTTTGAGAAATATATTTTGCAAAAAAAAAAATTCTTTTAAAGTTATATATTTTTATTTTGAATTTTATATACGTATAAATTTTGAATAATATTTGTATAATTATCTTATATGAATATAAACTTGATAATAATCATTCGCAACATAAATCAAGATAATATCGTAAAAATCGTGAAGAGTGAAGAAAAGTGCAGAATTTGTTCTAAATATTTCGTTTTTTTTTTTCTCCCATGTGTTTTTCTATGAGATCAATTATTACTACTAATCTACTTAATCCAATCATTTTTTGATCAAATTATTATTTGTGATGATATATAGGTTCTTTACGATGAATAAAATAGATTTGCTCGATAATTGGATAAAGATAAGATTTAATGTACTCATAATTCGAAGATATCGCTTTATTCATGGAAAATTTTAATAACAATTTGGTGGAATACGACTGAAATTATTCGCTATTTATTTTTACGGTTAAGGAGAGATCGATAAAAGTGAGAAATATTATCAAAGCGATATTAATAAAAAATTCTACAATTAATATTTTTCATAATATCTGGTAAATATTAATGATGCTTCTTTATCTTTTGGATAGGATTAGCTTATGTGAAAAAACATATAAAATTGTATTTAAAAAAAATGCACTTATATTTTTTAAACCGGAGCTAAATCATCGCGTATATGTTAGTTTTAATTATTCAATTTGATTGATGTTTGTTTCTCGTATCAATTTCGTATCGAACGATACAAAAAAAATATATTATGTATGATATATACATACATATAACATGTATTCTTACATATATTCATACATATAACACATCATTATGCTTATTTCAAATGTATATGTATTATCTAATAGTTTACTTTTGGTCAAACATGAAAGTCATTTGAACGGATATACGCCCCTCTCCCACGTTAGGTCAAGTCCGAGTTACCCTTATATTCCCTTTCACTATTGCATTGTGAATTTATAAGCATACTTCATGACACATTTACCAAAGCCATAGCAACCAACATTATTGAATTATAATTAATATATAAACAACAATTAATCTAAAATATAAAATATAAAAGCTTTCTATATAAAAAAAATAACAATAACATTAAAATATAGAGCAAAAAAGAATCTCTATTTGTTTTATCTCTAATCAATCTCTCTTTATATTTTCCAAATATGTACATAAACATGTATCATTTTAATATTATATAATGATGAAAAATTTTATTCCATTATTATTATTATTATCTATTATATTATTATTATTTAGTTAAATTATAATATTATACATATTAAATTATAATAAATAAAATATTGTGTAAATTGTAGATATTTCATACATTCATTTCATACATATATTTTATACATTTTATATATATTATTCTCACATATTTTATAATTTGAACACGTTATACTTATATATATTGTTTAGTTAATCATAATCTATAAAAAATACAACATACTTTAATAGAAATAATTGAAAAAAAAAATTGAAATTGAACGAATAAATTGATTAGTGATTTTACTATCATAATCAAATTAAATTTCAAAAAGATTATAATTATACTTTTCAATTATAAAAAATAAGATGTAAAAAATATACGTTTAATGATAATATTATTCATGAATTATATATTTGGGCTTAACTTATTTTATTTGTTTTATTCAACTTTTAATTCTTTTTCTTAAATATATTAGAAAAAATAATTTGATAAATCATTATATCATTTTTCATACATTTTATTCAAAAGTAATATATAACAAAATTTTAATATTGTTTAATTGTTGATACTTGGAAAAGATATAGTTGATTAATCGATAAGATATAATAAATTTATAAGATTTTATAAATATTTTAAGAATATTCTACATTGATACAAATTCAGAATAACAGGAATATTTATAAAATATCATAAATATGACACAATAATAAATAATTTAATAATGGAAGTTGAATAATTTTCCAAAAATTTTAAATTTTAAACTTAATTAAAAAATAGAAAAGAAATATTAATAACGTGTAACTATAGTTTCCTTTCAAAAAATTCATAACAAGTTAATGCTTAAATAAATGTTACAAATATATTCTATATCATATACATATATAAATACAGTAATCATAAAAATTTAAATATATTTAAATTTACATATATATTTTATAAACAATTTTTAAATTATTTCTAAATGCATATATGTGTGTGTATATATATACACATACACACAATATACATATTATATATACATATATATACATGTATTAAACGCAAAGTAAAATAATTTTTAAAACTTCGCAAAAGCGAAATTAATATCATTGTATAATTAATGTACATACCTATATTGTTAAACATAATTTCTTTTTAATGTTTTTTTAAAATACTACACAACATACGTGATAGCACGTGTACAATAACATACTATAACAAGTTTTCTTTCAAATATAACAAAAATTTTTTTCTTTTTTTTTTTATTCACTTCATTTGTTCTTTTCTATAAATTATTTATCCATACGGAGATCCGTTAACTTACGTCATTCGCATGACCTGTTTCTGCTTCCACCAACAGTTTCGATCCTTCTGTTTGCCACTAAAGTTACAGTTTAAATTCCTCGATAAAACTTAATGACATTATATTTTCCCAACATATTTTATTTCTTACATTCACATAATAAACATACTATAATTTATTATAACTATTTATTGTTTAACAATTTTGTGTACAGTTTGATACATTGAATAATGTATATATCTAGTGATTTTTCTAACCTTAATGTCGTATGTAAGTATAACAAATACACACAAAGGAAACACGAAAATCAAAAAAATTTTTATATTATAATATTTTATATTATATAAATTTATCAAAATAAAAATAAATAATTGTAATATTTTGATAATTTTATTTATATATTTATATTATATTTATATTTATATAAATATATATATATATATTCACTTTCACGCGAAAAAGGATTGAATGATACTGATCAAGTCAAGACCGGTCAAAGACATTTCGATAGATCACTAACACCATACGTGCAATCCAATGACTGAAACGCCACGAGTATCATACGCTTAATTTTATGCCACCACCCTTCTTTCTCTCTTTCTTATCCTTTCGTCCTTCTTATCCTATCTTGCTCGTACATTACATGCCCCACCTTTATTTTATTTTCCTTTCTTTTTGATTTTGTAGCAATACATTTTTCATTTTATATTTTTTCTCATCGTTTAATCAAAAAAAATGTTTATATCGTTTCGCATGGATAAGTAATATAATATTATGATTAGTTTTAAATTTATCTTTTAGGTTAGGTATGTGTATATATATATATATATATATATATATTTGGTTATGCATAATCAAATGTTGATGTTTTGAATTGTTAATATTTTAATTTTCTTTTAATCTTTATTTAATAATTAAGTATAGTTATTGTAAAAAATTTATATTATTTTCATATTATCTATATTATGTATGCTTTTATAATAGGTAGAAATTTGAAATAGTTCTTGAATCTATGATGCTTGTATATATTAATTAATATTAAAAGTAATTTTATACAATATTTTTACATTAAATATCATTATTATACAATATTATATTAGATTGTTATTTAATATAACAAATATATTAATATTAAATACTTTGTATATCTTAGAAATAAATATATATTTATGATCTTATGATTTAATTGCTAGATATAAATTGACATAACATTTATTTGTTATATTAATTGTTATATTATATTTATTATATTAATTGTTTTTACAAATATATGGAAAAATTTTAATATATATAAGAAATAGAATAAATATACAATATGTTCGAAACAATATAATAAAAACTAGAAGTTAATTATTTTAATAATTATAAAATGTCCAATATTATGGAATAAATGTAATGAATTATAATATTTATTTTATCAATGAACAATTGACAATTAAGAATTATTTATTATCTGCTATATTTTGCGGTGCAAATAATAATTACTATCATGAAATTTATTTTTGATAAAATAGCACATTTTTATATTTATAATTTTAAAGATAAAATAGAAAAGAAACTTTGAAAGAAATTAATTCTATTGGGAAAAGTTGTATTTAACAGAAGTGAAAAATTATAAAATATAATTTTATAAATTATTAAATTATATTAAATTTATGTTGTTTTTTGAATTAATTAACTTAATTGACATTTTATATATCTAACAATAATATTCTTAATATTATTTCATGTATAGTTTTTATATACATAATTGCACAAGTTATATTATTTTAAATATTTTATATATAGATCAATCAATTTTTTTCTTTTCTTTTATTATATGCAACAAATAAGTATAATGATTATATTCGATGATATTATGTAATTACAATACTATGTAACAATAATGTCATTATTAAATCTTATATATATTTATATACAAATAATAATAAACAAATATGTAATAGTAATTATTTTAATAATAATTAAATTTTATTTTGTACAAATAAATAATATACTATTATAATTATAATTTTTTATTATAATTATATACTTTTATATATATTATATACTATTATAATTCTATATTTTAAAGATGCAGTGCATTATTAAAATATATATATATTAAAGTATTAAAAAATAGAAAAATGTTAATAATAAAAGAAAAAAAAGAAACGAAATAAACCAATATAAATAGGTACATATTCAATAAATTGTTTAAAAAGTTTTTCAATTTTGAGCAACTTTCAACAATTTATCATTGTTAACTTTATCTAATTTGATTAATTGTATCTGATTGTATCGATTGATAAGGATAAGAAATCAAAATAAAATGAAACATATATATATATATATATACAATTTATTAATTAAATTAAAAATGAAAAAATGTTTTAATTTTTGCTTATGAGAAGAAAAGAGAAATATAGAATATGAATACGAATCACTAACCAATAATCATATTGTTATATATTTCATGAAATGATATGCATAAAATTTTAGTATTACTTTTATAAGTTATATTATTGATATTGTTGATTCTTGAAAACAATAATGTATTAACCTAAAAATTTCCAATATACAATGTCATTAGTTATTATCTTTTTTACAATTTTTTTTTTAAGTTACAAATAATCATTTATTATGAAGTAAAATTTTTTCATTGCTGAAGTTTATTGATATTATATAGAATTAATATTATTAATTAGAATAATTATATAAGTGCATTTATAAATCAATGTAAAGTATAAAAACTATTTCAAATTACAAATTATTTTTAATAAAATATTAAAAATTATTTGAATATATTAAATATACGATTAAAAATATATTAACGATAATAAATATTACATAAAATAAAATAAAATATTCTGTAATATAAGAAATAATTAGAAATAATTTTTTGTTTGAATTAAAAATATAGAAATAAAATAATAAATAAATTTTTTATAATATATTACATTTTATTTTTATAAAAATACCAACTTTTTTTTAATTATTTTCCATGCAAATATATATATTTATATACTATTCCAAAACCAATACCAATATATAATATATAGACAATTGGTAATTTGGTAATTATTATATTATTTTAATTTTATATTTGATAAAGAACACTGCACATGAGCAGAATATATAAAAAAGATAGTTGTAGTTATAGCTTACTGGCTTTTGTGACGCCATTGATGTCAAGGTCATGTAGAACCAATAGAAATTATTCCTTGTTAAATCTTATTTTTTTAATTTTTGAAATATTTTATACAGAATTTTTTTCAAATATAAAAACTATACATTTATAAATCTATAAATGAAAATTATGCTATTAATAAATTTTTGCTGTAAAAAACATATTGCAAAATTATAACCAAATATTATATGTAAATTGAACATCGGAAGTCGATATTTGTCATACTTGTAATATATTTTTTTAACGTTTGACAATAACTCGTTGTTTGAAAACTCTCTTAATATGATATTATTTATACATGTATATGTGTATATTTATATTGTACTAGTATCGCATGATAACTGAAAATCAATTGTAATTTAATCATAACATTTTCTATACATTTGATTTCAACCATTTCTTGAAATTTTTTATCAAGATACGTTTTTACATAGTTAATTTCTATCAAATTGGATTTTAATTTTTTAAATCTTATAAAATTATTATGGTTCAATTCTTTGTTTACCAATGAATTATTAGATTTTACATATTCGGCATTTATCTTACACACAATCTTGTACTCTGTGTGTGTGTGTGTATGTGTGTGTGTATGGTACGAATATATAGAAAAAAAATAAAAAGAAATATACATATATTCATAATATCGTATCATGTATTATATATATATTCATACATATATATATTCATATATATATATATATATATATATATATATGTATGAATATTTTTATTTAAATATTGTATTTAAATATATCATTTATATAATAATTCTATAGGTGAATAAATTCAATTTAAATTGAACTTAGTTCAATTTAAATGAATTTAAAAACTTAATTGTGTAAAATGATATTTATAAATGAGTATATATAATGTATGACACGAATATATTGTATTACACAAATTTGTGACATATAAATAAGCTATGATATGAAATATATATTATATTTTATTTCATATTATATAATATTTTTTATTCAATAAAAAAAATATTTAAAAAAATTATTAATGCTTATTATTATTATTCATATTTTATTTGAATATTAACAAAAGAATATTTATGGAAGATAAATATAGAGATATTACTAGTATCTAATACGTAAGATAAAAGATTAATAAAATACTATGAATCATTTCATGACAAATATAAAATAAGTGAAAAGTATTTTATAAGAACATGTATAGTTTGTTAAAAAAAATTATTTGATTCTTACAATGACAAGAAGGATAAGATATAATTTTATTTTAAATATTATTTAAAAATTTACTAGAAAACATTATATGCATATTATTCATAACATTAAAAAATAATAAAAGCTATATAATATAAAAATGAAATTTATTATTCTGTTATAATTTGCAATACAAACATACGTACATATATGTATATATCATGCATATTAATATATAACATATTTACATACGAGAGCGCGCACGCACGTATATAATATATAATATAAACTATAGAATTCTCTTTATATGCATTTGTCATCGATAAAGTCGAGAGAAACCGTGCGATCTGCTCGCTCGCTGAAGGGGTGACGGAATCGAACGGACAGGGAGGCTGTGGAAAGTCTCAAGTGGCGCCGAGCAACTCCGATTCTCGGCCGAAAGTGCGCGGTAACGGTCGACGAACAAACACGAGAATATCCGAAGTTGAACTGAGCAGCTTCTACACAACGACCACGAAATGTCTGTTGTAGAGTTCGATCTTCGCGAAACTGATATCGAAATTTGAATACGATATCATCACTGACAGATCAGCGTGATTAATAAGATGTGTTTTATCTCGGTCGACAGCGATAAACATGGTGAAAAGTGATGCGATGAATCGTTCGAAAAGATCAATGTGTTGGTAGTGCGCGATTATGTTTTGTGTGCAATAGTGTGCTACATCTTGAGAAACGTGACATTCGTATACATAGTGTATATGTAGTTATAGAGAAACAAAACAGTGCAAACGTGTAATATACGATGCATGTGTTTAGTATGGATTTCTACATACACGGATATATGTAGTGTATATTAATACAAAAATTTCGTAGAGAGCGGTACGAAATCTAACAAAATATTTTCCCGACTAGTCTCAGCCGTTTCCTTTTCTCTTTTTTTCTCCTTTAGCGTCGCTATCCTCTTTTATCGTGCATCTATTTTTCCCACTTTTGCTAGCTAACATCTCCGTCTTCGTCTAGCCGGTAGTAGCGGCCGTCATCATAGCCGTTGAAAATATGCTTGGTATAGAAGCGTTAGTGGCGTCGCTGTCGTGGTTGGTATTGGTTCTGGCGTCGGTGCTGCTGGTGGTGCTGGTTTTGGTATTGAGAATGGTGTAGCGCGGGTGTGCGCGCGCGGTGCTGTTTCGACGGCATATAGTGCGGACGGTGGCTTTAGACTTGAAGCTGCGGAAGAAAGGCCGCGAGCTCGATCGTGTTCCAATGGCCTGATACACATTACCAGACGCGTATATGAAGCTACACTGCCCTGAATCGTCGAGTGAGTAATAATTATCACATTATGATTGGATTTCCGATTGGATCGTTGTACAATTTACAAATGCGATCATCGACTAAAATTAATCCAAGAGAATCTTTTGTTGTTTTGTTTCCGCCTGTTTATTCTTTTATCTTTTACTCATTTCATTGCACGCGAATGTTATCCGTTATATTAAATTATCCGTTTATTACTGGTGACAAAATTCCTTGAATTTTCACGCGTATATCACGCGTTCTATGTCAAGGACATATATCATCGTCTCTTTCAACAATTCTTTTTCTCATATTTATCAAGAAATATTATCGGTGTAATAGAAATTTATATATATACTTTTAACATTTATTTCTCTTTCTCTATTATCTTTTGTTCTATGATAAAATCGATTGACTAGTTTAACATTGATTAATCAATGAAATTATGAAATCGAATAAACGATAAATTAATAGAAAAGTGATTTTCGAAAAGTGTCAGATCTGTATCGGATATCAGATAAGTGTATCGTGTGATAAACTTTTCTTCTATTAGTTTTTCTTTCGTGAGAAAAAGTGAAAAATGAATATCGTACGAAGAAGCTGCAATAAATATCGACCACGTATTCCAACGATGAACGAAAGCTTAAAGAAAGTGAACCGGGTCACGACGCAGTTTCTCGACGCGCATTTCCAAAATAGATAAAACATGGAAAAATGTTAACCAAATGTGTTAATTGAAAACTGTTAACAGCAAAAATTAAATTGATATTAAATTTTTATTAATCTTTCTTTCGAATATATAACATATACATATATATAATATATATATATATATATTACATACATATGTATGGTTATTTCAAAACTTGGTGCCGTTATAAATTTATACTCGAGATTTCTCGTAAATACGATTTTAAGATTGAATACAATTTCGCTTTCAGCGGAATCATTGTTGGCGTGTATGTATTTATAGTATCGCCATTGCTATAGTAACGATTCAATGAAAATGAAACGATTCGAATATATAAATCTTTTAATTATCGTTTTATTAGCGCGTATTATTTATAAAATTTTATCAAATAATATAATAAAATGCAAACATCGAAGAGATATTGATTTCATATAATTAAAATATTATTAGTTCATATGGCAAAATTAGTTGTATTTATATCCTTATTTTGATTTTATATTTACATTTTAGTTTATAAGTTTTTATATTTAAAATACGAATGACGATGTCTATAAATGATTAACATGTAGATAATAAATAGGAATTTCATGAACACATCAATTAATAAAAATGTCATGTTTTAATTTCATTTTGATGATTTTTATTGATAAATATACGTATATGTATCATTATATGTTTATATCGTTAGTCACGAAAGTATCCAACCACGGATTTTTTATATATATATAAATGTATAACAAAAAAGAAGACAACTCTACATTTACTTTTATAATATTTATATAATAAATATTTATCAATTTACCTGGTATAATTTAATTGATTTTACATTTTTTATTTCATAATCATAACGTAATAGCGAAGAAATAATAAGGAAAAAATAAATACGTTAGAAATTGAATAGAAAATATTCAAATAGCGAAATATCTATTATTATGATGAATTATACGCATGAAAGATTCATATAAACACATTTTTAAACAAAAAGTACAAATTTCTAGGAACACGAATAAATCAATCATATAATGCGTGTAACTTATGAAATGGAAATTGTTTAAGTTATCAGATAATCACAGTGATCGTAATGATATCGAATTATACATTGTCATTATAACTATATAAGAAAATTGGAATTTATTGTGGAAAATACGAATAAAATGTTGTGGAAATGTTTTTAAAGATAATTTAATACTAAGTAAATCGATTATACGCATATATTTTTTAATTACAATATTAAGGCAGATATAAATAAAAAATTATTATATAAGAATATGTATACGTATGTTGGGAAATTGTGTACATTCTATACATTAAAGTAAGAAAGTTCATTCGAATAGTTCAGATTATAAAAACATTTTCTCGGTCATAAGATTCGAATTGTATCGACATAGAATAAAATATAAGAATAAAATAAAACTTGAAAATAGAATACAGAAACATTCTATTACTTACGAATGTAAAAATTTTGATTCGCTTCTTAATCATATTCTTATAGATCATAATTTACATTCACGATATATTTTTATTACATAGAACCAAATCCACACGTATATTATATTTTTAGAATCATTCTTTACTTATTATTATTATGATAAACATTGACACATGCACGCGCGCGCACACACACAAAAGTGAAGACTATCCATTGGATTTTTAAAAATGATCATCCTATGAATTGGATTTGTAATGTTTCATAATATATTACCAATTTGACAAAATTTTTTAATCAAAAAATTTGAGTAAATGATAAGAGATATCGGACATTATCGATGAATTATTTTATGCGTATTAATTGATCTTCTTTTCTAAAACTAGATTTATATTTATTATATTATATTTTATATATTTTTATTACGTATTCTCGTCGGTATTGTTGTCAAATGATATATTGTACGCTATAACGATTTATAATTTAATAATTTTATTTTATATTATTATATATGAAAATGAAGAATATAAACGAATACATAAAAAAGACTCGAAATCGATTTTCTCTATGATAGAAATGTAGTCGATATGACGAGGACGCATATTTAAAGACGAGGATACGTAATAAGATTTAAATAGAGTCAGGTTTAAATTTATAATATCCATATTGTTTTTATTGTTTTTATTTGTAATTTTAAACAAGTTTATAGATAAAAACGAAAAGTGAAAAGATTAATTTATTATAAAAATTTCAGTGGGCGTGCGGGGGTGACTGGAGTGATGGGATGGGGCTAGAGCCCCATGGAGTTCGGGTAGACCCGTCTCCGGCCCAACTCCCCAGCCCCCTCCGCCATCGATATCGTCACAGCTCCTGCCAGCGTCGCAGAGGGCCGCCTCGATCGCGATGGAGGCCTCTAATAATCAACAACAGAAAAAGGAGCCAAGCGTTCACAGGCCTTGCGCCTTCGACAAGGTATATAAATTTCTTCTTTTTCTATTTAATGTTACACACGGAACGCAAATGATCTAAAAATTAATCGTTCGTTGAACTGTTAATCTTGTAATATTTATCGATAAGAATTAATCGTTTTTTTATAATTCAATTCCACGTGTTCGAGGTCCATTTTATTTTTTATTATATCGAATAAATAAATATATTATTTATTTATTCGAAAATAAGAAGAATTCAGCGATCTGTATAGTATGATAATCATTGAATATCATGGTGAAAAATGATAAATTAATGAGATCGTAAGAAATGAACGCGAACTATATTAAACTCTACGTTATTGTATTATGTATGTACTCGTAGGATCGTTCAATTTTTGATGGATCAAACGTAAATATCTGGTATGGAAAAAAATTTCAATATTAAGAAAATTGTTTAGCCAAAGATATACAAGTAATAATGAAAAAGGTGAGAAGAGAGAGAGAAAAAAGAAAAGTATTTCGTTTCCTGGAATCGTTAATGAAATTATTTTATGACATATAAAAATTAATACGATGTATAATTTAATAAAATTACACGTGTATTTTAATGGGAAACAATTTTATTGAAATCGAGAATAACATCGTATATTTATTGTTATTACGATCAAAAAAATCAAATCAATTTAACGAGATGAAAAAAATGTTCTATTTCACGAGCCAAAAGATATATCCTTTTTTAAATGACAAGAAAATGGAAGAGGATATATTTAAAATATTTGCGAAGAATATTGAATAATCGCGAGAGAATTTTATATAAATTTGATATAAATTCCTTTAATATTATTTAAAAGAAATATAAAAAAAATACATCGAGATATATATCTCTCTGCGAGTCAAGTGGCAATTAATCTCGAATTTTTCGTCAATATGTATGGATCTTGACTTGGTAGATAGCAATGTGTGTGATTGTAGCTTCCTTTTCAAGATGTAGCGAGTGTATATCAAGCTCGAGTTGATTGGCATCGATAAAGTCGTATGTAGTTTTGATGTCCTGGATTGTTCCATGTTGGCGGAGCGCGTGCGTATTGTGAGAAATCCTAGTGATAGGCGTAATGAACTCGGCATAATGATTGCTGTTAGATTCGTCGATATTTTATATAGTTGTACGATGATTTTAGGAGAGGGATTACGAAATTCGTCCATTTTCCATTCATAATAATCGCTGTTGATTTCATTTCGACATCGATCCTATTTTTGCCGATCTTCTATTCTTCTTTGCTCTTTCTTTCCTAATTGATTTTTTTTTTATTTAATGCTACGAGAATCGCGTGATCCACTCCTATATCATACAATTGAAGACATAGAAGAAGCTGCATCGAGTAATCTTTTCTCAAATTTCGATACTCGACGATGAACGCTGAGCAACCGAACAACGATAGGAGGATATATTCGTATCAGATTCACGATACGATGGATATCTATGATACTATTTATGGAAGAATATTCAGGGAAAAATTTTGTCGCGAGATTAGAATTTCGCAATATTTCTTGGATCAAGAATTTCTATTTCTTGCGGTGGGGCAAGTATCGATGATTCGAGTGATTAGAAATAGCTTGAATGAAACGTATCGTATGCGTGTTTTATTAGCTTGTAAAGAAAGAAGAGGAGGAGGAAGAAGAAGAAGAAGAAGAAGAAGAAAAGCGGGAAAGAATGGAAAAGATTTTTTGGTAAAATTAAAAAGAATGTAATTAAAATGAATAACCGAAGCGTAGGATGATCGATCGATCGACTATGTTTATTACAGATGGAGGGGCTGGTGCGGGAGATGCAAGACCCTGAGAACGGGGTACCCGTGCGCAGCCAAAAACAATTTCTCACCTCAATTCCTTCGGCTTTCATGGGTGAGTGCCATCGGTACCTGCGTTGTGGAGTAAGCGTAAGCGGCCATCACGGCCAGGACACTACAGTAGGCTGCCTGCGTGTTGCAGGTTACGATCTCATCGAGTGGCTGATGGAGCGGCTTTCCATCGAGGAATCAGGTATGAGATTCGTATATATACAGATATCTAAATAATATCGTATATGCCCGAGTTTCCGCAGTGCTTTGATGACCCACGCATCGTTTTTCGTCTCGCCGACCATCGATAATGGATCACGTGTTTCTTCTCTCATTGCATTTTTTTTTTTTTTTTTTTTTTTTACGTTTAACCATTGTGCCTGTGTTATGCTCGATCGAAAACTGTTAGGCGAATATTTGTTCGAATGATATTGGAACGTCTTTCACACGGGTATTCGGTTTTCGCTCCTTTTTTTTTTTTTTTTTTTTTTTATCCTTTCACTTTTCGTTTCTCTTTTTTCTCTATTTTATCCTTCGTCTCTTTCGATTTCTTTCTTTTTCGTTTGCATCGCGCTAATTTAGCTTTTTATCACGTACGAATTTGATATTCGAGTGCATCGTGTATAATATAGCTATCAACGCTTGTTTATTGTTAGTCGAATAATTTTACCGATTTTTCGATATATAATATCTCGAGCTATTTTCAACAAAACAGAAAAATTGAATAATAAATATTTCAACATTGTTGAATTTGATTTTGATATTCTGCGATCGAAATCATTCTTTGCGCTTCTTCATTTTTTTTCTCCTCTTTTTTTTTTTTTTTTTTTTTTTTTTTTTTTTTTTTTTTTTTTNNNNAACATTTTTTTTTTATATTCGATAGATTCAAATGTTTTTAAATTTTTATTATTTTTAACTTTGTGTTATTATTCGCTTATTGTCTTACGCTTAATACATATCTACATTTATTATTCGAAATTAAATATTTTTGCTTCGATTTTTTGTTTTTATCACGATAAAGGAGCATAATTGTATTTAAAAATTTTTTTTCGTAAAATTCCAACGTTGGAGTTAATCGTCGGAAGAAATATAAAAACGAAGAGACAGAATGCAAAAAATTAGTTTTTCATTACCTATAAAAAAAAATCTGTAAATTTTTTACGTATGTACACAATTTACCTATGTGTAATGCATTCGTCGTGAGTACAGATATGTGGATGCGATAATGCTCGAGTAAAATACGAATTTTGAAAATACGAAAAATATATACAGGTAATACGTATGCATTTCGCGTTTCATCGAAAATGTCGTGTTAACCGTTTAGTCGATGTATCCTACGATATATATATGCATTTCCCTTTTTGAAGCATGCGACGAGATAAAGTCTCGATTTTATATCTCCAAGTAGAAATTTAATCGTAATGATATTGCGGTATACATATGTATATAATATTATATAATGTATATAATATTATATATATATTATACTTTAATATTTAATCGGTGTAAAATCTTAGATAAACTCGTAGAAAAGTAGCCTCGATTTTAACGATTTTATCGATTTTAACGATTTTATCGAATCAAATAAAAGAATATCGTGTTTCGAGCAATTTTTTTTTTTTTTTTTAAGACATAATCGGTGGGATCGGATTTCGAGAAATACATATACATATATATTTGCGATAAATTATTATCGATGACAATTTTCGATCGGATTATCGATCGTCGGATCAAATAGATTTGATCTAAATCTGATTCTTATCCTTGATTTACTCAATTTATATAAATTGAAACAGTTGAACGTAACTTACATTTACGTTTATATTATATTATATTATATTATATCTATTTTATATATCGTTTGGACTTTCTTTGTCTTTCATCTTTTTACCGATATTTTACTAACATCGTTGTATAACGAGGCACGACGTCTTTTAATTGATAAATGTAATTTATGTCCCCCAAACTGTTCGTTATTCGAAAAATAAATGTGAATATTTCAAATATTATAATTAACTTGCTTTATTTCGAGGAGGAGATAGTTTTATAAATGTAAAATGGATGGTATATAACGATTAAATTCATGAAAAGCAATTTAGATTATAGAAACGGAGATGCGATATTTTCTAAATGTGTAACAACGACAATTTGGAAGATAATTGCATTTATATAGATGAAAACGAGTGATGCCGGAATGTAATGAACGCGTAACTTGACTCACCTATTGCAAATATACTACACGTAAAAGTTTTTATTGCATAGTTTATTTTTTTATTTATTTATTTATTTATTTTTTTCTTTTAGAGATCTGATAATCGAGCAATTGAGCCGATATAATATTAAGGCATAAAAACTATGTTGATTTTTTGTGAAATATCTTCCCATCCGTAAGATAAGAGCTTTGTTCTTTACGCTATATATATATGCTCGTATGTAGTAGTTGAATGCCTGTCCGCTTTCAATCGTTTAGCTTTGTATTCGAATTCGTTGACAAGCTACATCATTGTCGCGACCGATTATTTCGCCATTCACGATAATTCTTTGTCGCTTTTCTCAGCAAAATTTATTTTTACTCGAAAATCGCTTCTTCTTCGCAGGCTTCTTTCGATGTTTCTTTAGCTTTTTGTATGTAGTTAAATTGATTTTGTAGAATGCTTGAAAAATCAAAAGCAAAAATTTCGCTTCTTTCTTTCACTGTTAATCATATTGTACGTATATATATATATATATATATATATATATATATGTGCGAGCGTGCGTG